AATTTAATCATTGCTTTTTCTTAAAAAATACGAAAAACACAATGTTCTGTAAAAGGGTCTAGATAGAGTACAGACTAGAGAATAATGGACAATAAAAAGGCAAATAAAAATAGTTTTTATACATCCTTGTCTTTCAAATATTCCGGCTTTGAGTGTTCCTGATAACAGTAAATGTAGAAAAGCGCTTCGGGCGCATGAAATTTGTAAAGTGTTGTTTTCGTTTTTTACAGCACTGGGTCGATACCGCTGATGGTGGACTATCAGTCCCCGTTGGTATCAGCATATCAGCAGTCAGTTTTCGGTACTGACATAATTTATAACAAACCTTTCTTAAATTATCCGTTTATGAATTAAGACATTATAAAAGAAACTAAGAAACTCAGGCAAAGTGGACCTTAGATGGATTTGGCTGTTTTTATGTCCTTTTTGATCATATAGCTCTTCAACAGTTTGGGTTCTTATACATGTACATCCTTTTAAATATTCGGCTTTTTACAGTTTTACTGATGAAGGAAAATCCAAAAGGAGAGCTTCGGACGCATGCAATTTATAAAGTGGTGTTTTCATTTTTACAAGTTGGAAGTTCCTTATCCGCATGCCTTTAAACATAATTATATTTTGTATATCTGAAAATATGTTAGAGTGAATTTCTTTTTACACACACGTGTACAGAAATTTACCATCAAACTGTACACTGGACGAGTTCGTGTTATTTTTTTTAATGAATCAAAAGGTTCAATTTTCCAGTTTTTACTCTTCCACCAAATTTTTGTAATACAGTGATTTTTTTACAATATTTAAATAGCGCATTCTTCAGAAATTTGAGAAACTTTACAGATAATGCGTTTTCATTCTTTGAAAAAACTATTATTTTGAATAAAAACATTGAAAAATAGTTAACGCTCGTCTACGCTATACGTAAAAAGCTTGTGTGTCTTAACAAAAAATAGCATATCGGAAATTCAAACCATCGTATGTTGAGGCTTCTTTGCAGATTTCATTTTCGAACATGCAAAACATTCCAAATTAATACGACATACAAACAATTTTGTTGCTTTGTGTTGGGTTTATTGCAAAATAATATATTTTCTCAATTAGAAGCGTTTAGTAGTACATTTAGTTCTCCTACAAACGTTACAATAAATGGCAATTAATGGCTATTTAATAATTGGTTGTATTTTTATTCTAAAAATCAAGTTGAAAAGACTGAAGTTTTGGAAAGGGGTTGCGATTTCAAAAATACAAAAATTTGATAAAATACTCATTAGAACGATAAAAAGAAAAATTGCAACGATCTTTGAGATTTAAATTTTCACTATGGAAAAAAACCAAATTAACTTGTTCACAATGTTATGTTGTCCACTTCCGTGTTCTAAAACAGTAGAAATGTACAGGATATATTGTATTCAACTGACATAAAGCGTGCATTCTATAATTTTTATCTGTAAAGTGAAAAAGCTAAAATCAATGACATTTTGAATGCAATAGACACAACAGGGGACAAAACCTTAATGGTTTTATTTCTATGTCAATGTTTATATTATATTCGTGTCAGAAGCAAAGTAGACAAATTCAGCGCAGTTTCCACCAATGCCATGGTAATATTTCAAAAGTACAGAAAAAGTAAAATATATAAATGGGGTTGAATAGGACCAATGCTTAAATGCATTTCAGAACATATACATGTATAAGCAATATGGAAGATCTAAACGCATGCGGATTATAATGTGAAGCGTATAAATGCAAATAATCGAATACAAAACTTTGTTTAGTGTGTATAATCTGTTAAGCCATTATGAAAACAAACAAAGAAAACAAAAATTGTGATTCTACAATACAATGCCCATTCTTACCTCTTTATTTAAGTTCCCTTATAGAAAAAGACAAAAATAAAAATATGTGTAAATAGGACACAATGCTCCACTCGACAATCGCATTTTTGTGTGCAGTAAACCGAGAAATATGGGTCCAAACCCTAATTTGGCATATATTTCTCATCATAATTAAAATGTGTCAACTTTATTGTCAACTAAACGGGATAGCACATCTTAACTTTTACGGTGATATTGTTTATTGAGACTCTAAATTTAGATACGATCTAGGTAAACTTATCGATCCATTAAAAACTGATTCTAAAAGGTTATCAATGTATCACTGTCATTAGACATTTGATTATTGTTTTATCGGTATGAATATTGATTTTTCTATCAACAAATTAAAACTCAACTAAATATTATTGCTATACACCTATGAACATTCGCGGCCCTACATTCTGTCGACACCTAAAATTTGGCATTGCACAATATTATGTTTTTCTTTGATTGTTAATGACGTCTTAACACTATATCCATTGCATGTTGGATGTGTACTGATTGATACTTAAGTCTTAGATACATGATTTTTTTTATAAGTTGTTACTGGCTTTAGACTAGCTTTCATTAACTGCGAATTCTCTCAGATCTGTACTTTGTGGCTTTAATGTTTTGTTAGTTTTTTGTGCTTTGTGTATCGATCTGATGAGTTTGACTCTTTTCAACTGATTTTTATACAGTTTTTTCTTATATTGTGCTGCTTCACCGCTGTCTCAGGTTATGGAGAGGGTTGGGCACCCACAAACACGTTAAACCCCACCACATTCTGTATGTATCTGTTCCAAGTCAGGAGTCTGTTATTCGGTGATTGTCGTTTGTTGTTGAATATCATATTGTTATGTACATAAATCAGTCCGTTAGTTTTCTTTAGTTTGAAATGATTTACATTTTTCATTTTGGAAAAGTTTATAGCTTGCTATGCAGTATAGATTTTGCTCATTGTTGAATGAAGTACGGAGACCTATAGTTGCTAACTTTTACGTCATTTGGTCTTTGGTGGAGAATTGTCTCATTGGCAATCATGCCACATCTTCGTATTTTTATAGCTTGATCATTGGTCTAAACTCAAATTTGGCATATATTTTTAATACAATCACATCACAATGCACATGTATACTCAGTTTCAAGTTTATGTCATTACAATTTCATGAAAAACTACATTAACAAATACCTGATACGGAACGAACGGATCGACGGACGGACGCACAGACTGATAAAAATTATGCACCTGGTATACATAACCCCGGAGAAAAGAGAAGAAATAGACTAAAATATAAAAAGACAGAATCTCATTAAGATTCTATAGACGGTTGCATCCTGTATTAGATCAAAATGAAGCAACATGTTATAACTGATATATCTCCGTAATGAAGTGCCCGTAATTGATTATATGAAGTCTATAAACATAAGATTTAAATCACGCAATTATCCTAGTAAGAGACATCATGCAAAGTTTGTACGATACCATGGATACGATAATTATTGACGTTTTGTTCTTGTAGAAAATTGTAATAATACTGTCAGTATTTTGAAAGAAAAAAATTGTTTTGAAAGCAAATTTTAACGTATTACTCAACTACTTATAATAATTAGCTTTACCTAAAATTGCGGAAAACGCTATCGAAATAAATAAATAATCCATTTCAAAATCAAATGACCGTTTAGAATAGTTAAGTTGTTTTCTCCAGGTATGAAATATTGGAATTGTGTAGCTCATACTAACGTCAAATAACTTATGAAATGTTGATAATAAATTATTCATATAACGTCACATTTATATATTTTAACAAGAGGCTGCTACGAGTCTGAATAGATCAACTGATAAAACTGATAATGCTAACTTGATATTTATTTTTACTTTGAAATAACTATTTTTCTTTCAGAAACTAATTACTTTTAAATTTACATCATTTAAGTTAAATCAAAGTGGATAAATTATTGTTTTCTTCAGTACCTGGATCACAATTAGATGTTTGCGTAGAAATCGGAATCACTTTTTTTTTTACAAAATCTTCCAATCTCCTGTTTCAATCAAATATCCTGGGTCTACACTAAGCAGTCAACACAGTACAAAGACCATTGAAACAATTTGTTAACCTCAATTTGCTTGCAAAACAGTTTTAATATTTACTGTTTTTCTGTACCTTATGCTGTTTTTGAAATGATATTAAAAACATCAAAAGTTTATAAAGATCAGCATTGCCGTTAGCAGGTTCTGCGTGCCCATGTAGAGTCCAAGATACGTTTTAACTTGCCAATACAAATAATTAAAATGGTAATAACTCCTATATTGAGTCAGTTTAATGGTTTCAGTCATATTGGCATTTTTTGTTGCAGTAGATCTTATATTGCTGATCCTTTTCTCAGTTTTTAAATTTCTACTATCCCTTTCAGGATCTTTAGCAAAAACACAAACATTTGTCAAAAATTATCACTTAAGAGCAGTTACTTCTATATAGAGTGAAACAATTGAGTATATCTTGTAGTGATGATAATTTATGCTGCTTACAGTTTCTGTCTATTATAGATGAAAATAAAACTTAATAAATTCCGTGCGTCCGAAGCGCTTTTCTCAATTTATCTTTATCAGGAAATCCCAAACCTATATAACCCCCAAAAGAGACACAAAAGAAAAGCCAATTATATAGTTTAAGAGAAAAGAATAGACAATTATATAGTTTAATATTATCGTTGATATTTTCTATGTTAGCAGTTTTAGTTTAAGCATGAACCCCACCCCCACGACATTTATATATATCAGTAAAACGATAAACTACAACAAAATTGTTATTTCAGGGCAATAACTCATATGAGATGTTGATAAATGTTTTCAATCCAATAGCCATTTTTGTAAATCTTGTACTGCATCTTATTTTCATAATTACAATATCTACCTATCTATCATTGTTTTCAAGAATAGATATGCTCTAGAACTAGTAAAACATCGTCATTAAGGGGAAATATTCCCAACAAGAAACAATCTGCTCATTTTGTAAAATTTAAACAATTGGTAGATCTTACTACGCTGAAATACGTCCATTATTCATAATTATTTCAAATGAACTATAGATGCTTTTGTTTCTTTCACAGAATCATCCAACTCAAACGGCGGTGTGCTTAAAAATGGATTTGAACAGAAAATGGAATTCGAAAACATAACCGAAGTAACTATATTAATGGAAGAAACAAACACAACAAAGCTATTACAATGGGAAATATCATATGAAGCACAGATTATAAGCGCAGTTTACCTTTCCACAGGGATGTTTATTGGTTTGATTACGAATACCCTTCTGATTCTTGTGATTTGCCTTTCACCAACATTAAGAACTCCACCTAATTACCACTTGGTAAATATTAGCTTTAATAACTTACTGCTGAGTATCTGTATGATATTTTCCACACTTTCAGTATTTGGAGTACAAGATCATGATGATAATTTTTTTGTTGCGATTCAACTTTTCATTACTCAGCATTGTACCACACAATACTTTGCAACATTTGCTTCTATAGGAATTTATAGAAATATAACACTAAACAAACCAACTTTATCTTTGCGCATACGAAAAAGAATAGTGCGTAGGTCTATTTCAATAAGTTGGTTTCTGACGTGTTTATTAAGTTTAATTTTTACGATTACTTTCATGGATAAAGATTCATTATTGTGTATCACACTGACGCCTTTTCAGAAATCATTTGTCATATGCCAAGAAACGGATTATCTTCCAGAGCCAGGAAAAATTTGCATGGCTGTGATCATCTGCTTCTTTTATGTGGTTGCTTTAATTTCAACGTTATCATCTTATTACACTATATCCAAAGAACTTAATATCATTAAACCAAAGACATCAAATAAAATTTTACCCATATCTAGGGCAATGAGTTTATCATCAGAAGACACCTGTGACCCCCAAAACCATTATCAGATAGAGCCAAACATACCAAGTCAAAATGGTTCTATCCAGGTATATACTATCCAATGCGCTGACAGTGAGGAAACTGTTGTACATTACCAGAAAAATGAAAATATGGTGACATTTGAAGAGGTATTCGCTTTACAAAACCCAATTCTAGCACAATCGATGGCAAACTCAAAGCGACCCCTACAGGCCACGCTTAGCAACGCTTCAACACAATCGAGGACTTCTAGAATTGATTTTACAGATATATCACCAAACGCTGACCTACAGAGATTTCAAATGATGAAAAACAATTCAGCTCTGAGAAATCAAACGCTAAGGCGAGACAGAATAAGTGTCCGAAGTGCCACAAAAAATAGCTTTATCATGTTTACAGGATACTTATTGAGTTCACTGCCTTTAATAATATGTAGTGTGCCTTATGCTACCGCCAGATCGGAATCTATAGAGACAAGAGTTTATATATTTTTATTTTTAAAGTTTTTATTTTATGCAAATGCATTTGTTTCATCAACATGGTATTTATTTTTTAGCAAAAGAGTGCGTAAATGTTTGTTCAAATTATTAGAGGGAAGTTTTCCATGTATATTTGGCAGACGTTAGCTTAATATGTGAAGAAAGAAGCAAAACAAATATCAAAACACTGAAATTGAATCATAAAAGGGGTCGTATAGTTTAAACAACAATCAAATAGAAGTGTGTAGAAACATGAATTATTCTGTGAACGTGGTTAGTTGCTCAATTTTCAGAAACATATGTAAATAGCAAAAGAAATCATCTCGATTACTTTAATTAATGACTGAATAAAATTGTTGGGAGCTCTAAACTAAAATCGATCTATTTAATTAGTTGTTGTTAAGACTTGTATGTAATTAGCGAACAGAGATCGATGACCTCGGTCACTTTTTGCCGTGATTACATAGGGCGATTATTAGCTCTGAACTAAAATCCATAGATTCTTTTTCAAGCGTTACAATAATACTTTTTATATCATACTATTTGAATCGTGATAAAAAGGTATATAACATCGTCCTTTTGTTATTAAAAAGATATAGGTGCAAACTTCCCATATTTTGAAATAATTTATGAGGAGGTAGATTTTAATGAAATTTCTAGAAAATAGATAGAAAAATAAGGGGGACAGACTACATAGCAAAAAATACAATTTATTATGAAATTTAATGTCAGAGTAACCTCCCTTTAAACCAAGTTCGTTAGATTTCCAATGACATTAAAAGTTTCTCTGTTCTATCATAACGTATAATACTCATATTACTAGTTATCAAGAAACCAACATTTCAAATTCTTCAGACAAATTTGTCCTTATGGATTAAACAATTATTTTATGTCTATCTTAGTCAAATAACTCTTCTCGTATTTTGGTACTAATACATCCTTGTTTTTCAAATTTTTGGCTTTGAACGAATCTTATGTAGAAAAGACCAGAAAAGCACTTCGGAAGCATAAATTTATAAAGTGTTATTTTCCTTTCTTACTTGAATTGAAGTTCGGAAGAGCTTCGTTTGTTTCCAACCAGTCTTGATTAAGATTAGAAAAGGCGTTGGGTTGATAAAAACAGTACTCCAAGTATTCATTATATTTTTATATGATTTTATATAGTATAATAAGATGCAACAGTAGTTTACCGAGTTCAAACTTTCCGTCCAACTTAGAGCATGAAGATGTTTTGTAAGACGTTTAACATTCCCAACTACATGTGAGTAACTACCTAACCGAATAAAAAAATTCTCGTAAATCAGTTTTAATATACAAACCAGGAGACACGAGCATTAAAAATAGGAAGATACTAAAGGGACATTCACAACTCATAAGGCGACGAGAAACTGACAACGCCATGGTAAATAACGACGAAAAGACAACATTGACCAGACTACAAAACCATACATATAAAACTAAAGACTAAAACAAAGAGTAACTACAAGTTTAAAACAGCAATAACTAAGTTGGATTGAACACACGAAGAAGTGGTGTTTTAATAGAACAGGCGCTGAAGAATTTTAGCGTGCAACTTATAAAAGATACTGGTCGTTGAATTTCTTTTTATTCGAGCGTCACTGATGAGTCTATTATAGACAATACGAGCGTCTGGGGTACAAAATTATAAGCCTGGTATCTTTTATGAGTTTATTTGTTTAATAAGTGCAGATATGTAACTTGTTTTTGTCATACGCTTTCAGATTTTTATTTATGAATGGAAAAATAAAAGAACGTTTACCTCTTACCAATCAAAATGCTTTCAAGGTTTTTCCTAAGGTAAACGCAATGTAAAATGATTGAAAATTATGTTAAAAATTTTGAGGTTCATTAGTATTTTTATTTATCGTGTTACAGTAATATATACATATATAAAGTTTAATTCTACAAATTATGCGCTTTGAGGGGAAAATGTCATACCAATTTGATATGCATTTATATAACTGTATCTCTGATTTAAATTTTATACATTGATATCGTCAAAATCGAACTATATATAAGTATAAACACAATGTATATCGTAGATGTAAATTAAATTGGTGCGCGTAATTGTCATATTGTTGAGAATATTATATTGTTATGTTTTTAAATTAAATTTAAAAAGTAATGAAATTTCGTTGGTGCTACAATGAATTAAACAGTGATAATTGTTTATCTGAATCCAATCCACGACAATAGAGATCAACATATATAAAGTGAAAAGACAATACCGTATCAGAATGAGAGGAAGTTATAAAAAAGGATAACAAAAATACCGAACGCCAAGACAAATTCAAAAAGGGGAAGTCCATAAAAAAAGACATAACCAAACTCTATCAACCAACGGAACAAGTGATAAACAACTTCCATATTTTTGACTTGGTACAGGCATTTTCCGAAGAAAACGGTGGGTTAAACCTGGTTTTATAGCTAGCTAAACCTCCCACTTGTATGACAGTTGTATATAGTTCCGTTATATTGACAAAATTGGGTGCTCAACCCAAACAGACATAATTGGTTAATGTGACAATTGTTTGGATCCAGCATCCAAAACTGTGCAAAAATACATCACAGATATACACACACAACTGACTATAATATTCAAACAAAACAGACAAATTAATCTAACAAACACGCAAACCAAAAAGGTGTAGTAGATACTCTCAGGACCAACCTGTACCAGGAATGCCCAAAGTAAAAAAACCGATGGCGGGATGCATACATTCCAAGTCACGTCAATAGTCATACCAAAAGAAACATAGCACAAGGCAAATAACGGGTTCACTAAAGTAAAATAAAGCGATACACAACTTCAGCATCTAGAATCTATAACTCAAAACCATCCTGTATTATAACTGAAGAAGACTAAGAATATTTAGAATATTTAACTATTAGGTGTTGGTACTTTTCGATGATTTTTTTTTTTTAGAAATGACGCGACGTTCTTTGACAAAACTCTGGTTCATTAATTTTTTGCTCGGACACCGTTTAAGTCTGAGTAGCAGCTGCAAGCCTTTGAATATCGTATGAGTTGAGAAATGTATCCTCCATATGCTGGTGAAGTTGGTATTTTGCAGTTAAGATGAGAAAAATTTATAATTTCAAAATTAAAATCGTCTTGGTTGACATAGATTCTTGTACTGAGATGACCGCTGTTGTCAAATTTGAGGTAAATGTATAGAAATGATGCAGAGGATGTTATATCTGTGGTTTTTTAAATCTCTAGTTCAGGAGGATATATTAAAGGGACCCGATCAGAAAAGTTTGGATTGTTTATGGAAAGAACATCATTAGTATACCTGTATGTGAAATTGAATAATCTAGCTTCTTTGATCTTCTTATTTTTACAAGTGTAGGAAGGAACTCCGACGCATATGCAAAAAAGAAAAGGTCGACTAGGAGAGGTGCACAGTTGATTCACATAGGAATGCCGACAATCTTGAAAATTCTACCTCCAAATTCCACAAATATGTTGTCAATGAGAAACTCCAGTAAACTGATCACTTGTTCTTCGGTGTAGCACCTTTTATTTTCGGGCTCATTTTTAACAAAAGTATGCCGAATTATATCTCAAAACATTAAATTTGTAGAGTATGGTACAATTTTTATGGAGTAAAGGAATGTGCATTTTTTTTTCAGACGGGGTTTTAAAATTTTTCATGAGGTATGGCAGTGTAAAAGGTGGAAAAATTGAAGGTTTTAATAAAATTTATTTCAGAAAATGACCGAGATTTAAAATTTCCCATAAGTTTTCCCTTTTGAGTTATTAAGAATCCACATATAGTTAATGCCACTACGCGAGTAAACAGTGTCACAGTATTTCTGTTATCCTTATTTCACTGCAGACAAAATGTTTGGTTAATCTAACGGACAATTCCGTTATAGAAAATGTAGATGAGCCGGCAATTTTCCGTTGTTTGTACGGAGTCTTGTGAAGTTTAAGTATCATATACAAACAATGTAAGTCATCAGATTTGCTGTTCTTTGAACTATTCGATGAAGCCATTAAGGACTTTTGGTTTGCCAAGATCACATCTTTATCAATGGTAACTTTTTTGTACGTAGGATTACCCGAGTGTTCATTTATTCCTAATTCTTTGTTTAAACACTCGTAGTAATAGGATTTACAGATTTACATACAAATACAATTATATTGTTTGAAGCTTTGTCCTCAGGAACAACAACATATTGGTCGTGAATAGACTTCAGACATTTGACAGCCTCTTTGCCTCTAAATGCGGACTTAGGTCGAACATTTACACAGTTTTTGTTGTGGATTCTTCGTTTTATCAGCGACCTAATTCTGACAGAGCATATAGTTCAACCTTTTTTCGTTTTGCCCATGCTCTGGCGTAATCCTGAACAGAATCCATTATTATTTTGAAATTATGATTCCAATTGAAGTGTTGTGGCTCTCTAAATTTGGGAGTATGGGATATCATCACCTTCCGGAGATGTTCATGTTGAATCATATTTAGATCGCCAGTAATTACATGGCCATACGGCTTGTAAATATATGGAGAGTGGGAACAGTCACATGTTAGAGAAGTTTTCAAGTATTTTTCTAAATCCATTCTTGCAATGCTTGTTTATAGTTAAATATTTTAGGTGCAATGGTTTTGGTGTAATTATAGGAGATAATAGGAACAGACTAATTTTGAAAATAATGCGGAATTTTAGATGAAACTGAATTGAAAAAGATTCCCTATTTTCATCTTGCTATGGTTCTGATCTTACTGTTTAAATAGACGAAAAATAGCTACATCACAAACTATACTTACTAGTCTGTATATTTGGGAAAATAAACAAGTCTAAATTGAAAACAACGTTCAAACCTATGATTGCGTTGAATAAAAACCGCAATTTTTATACGTGTGCATGCAAAACAAATTTCTTGTTACAGGGGTCTAAATACAGCACAAACAACATTTTCCAAAAGACCAAAAAAGTGAAAACGTATATTTTAACAAAACGCATTTATAATCCAGGCATAAGGTGTTCGATCCTTCTCTAAATTCGCCAATGTTTTCTACTAGATTTCAGTTCGTCATTTTTTTTATTAAAAATTTGCAAACAAAACCTTGTGTAGATCATAGTATTGATTTTACATTATATAATGCATGTTTGTTTCAACATAATTGTAAATTAGTTGTTATTTTGATCATTAAGACTTCGAACCAGCGAATGCATATTACCCTGACAGATACAACGAAACCTTATTAATTATCATTCAAATTTCAATACTTACGCACAAGTTGCATGACCAAGAATTGTGCAAAATATATACCTAAATCAATTATTAAATTCTTATTGCTCGGGAAAAGTTATGGGCATTACACGCAATGTTCTGACTTTGGAAATTTTTCATGTGTCGCCTCAGAAGGTTAATATAAATTATGTTTCGTAGCACAACAGCCCTTGTGTACATGATATAAAAATAAAGAAATGTGGTTCGATTGCCAATAAGACACATAACTATCCACCAGACAAAAAGACGAGAATGTAAACAACTCTAGGTCACCATATGGCCTTGAATGATAGGTAAATTTGACAAAGACGCCAACAAATAAATTTTTTGTAAATGATTGTAAATTAACAAAGACACCGATACAAACGTTTTTGTAGTTCATAGTAAATTGACAAACACGCCGATGAAAAACAAGTTTTTGTAGTTGATGATATATACCATATATAGTATGATACACCTTCTCGATAAAGTATAAATTCAGTAAAATATGACTACAAGGGTAAACAAAATAGAAAAAAAAAACCACTGTCAATACCTCTTGCGTCCGTATCGAACCTCGGGGCTCACCAGCTCCAGGAACGCTCAAAGTAAAAACTCGATAGCGGAATGCATAAATAACGAGTCACGTCAAATTCAGACGACCAAAAGAAACATATAATAGCACGAAAACAAATAAAGGGAAAAATGTAAAGCAAATAAAAAGATACACAACTTCAGCATCTAGAATCTATAAATCAATACCATCTTGTGTTATTTGTGAAGTTGACATTGAATATTCATCTATTAGGTATTGGTACTTTCCGATGAACTTTTTGGGAAAAAGGACAAGACGTTCTTTGACAAAATCCTGGCTCTTTGATTTTGTGCTCAGACACCGATGACGTTTTACAAAGTCTGGGTAACGAATAGCAAGCTCTTGAATATCGTATGAGTTGAGAAATGTATACTCCATTCGCGGGATGAGGAAAATTTATAGTTTCAAAATTAAAGTCGTCTTGTTTGTCATAGATTCTGGTGCTGAGATGACTTCTGTTGTCAAATTCGAGGTGAATGTCAAGAAATGATGCGGAAAAAGCTGTATCTGTGATTTCTTTATTCTCTAGTTCAGATTAAAAAAAAATGGGATCCAATCTGAAAAGTTTGTTTATGTGGTGTGGATGTGTAAAGGGTGGAAAAATCGAAGGTTTTGATGAAACAGATGTAATTGAATAGTCAATTCATAAAAAAATAATATCCTCTTGCCCCCTCCTCCTAACCCCCTTATCAAATGGTCGTCCCTTTAAAGACAAGTTTATTTTATGAAATTTCAAGAAGCAAACCACGAACGGTCATTGATAACGAAAAAATATAGGAACCGAAACATGTAAAGGTTGAAACATCGGGGAAATTATTTGTTGCATAGAAGACTTTTTTCTGTTATAACAGAAAATGAGAAGAGATTTCGAACACTAGAATCTTAGGTTGGATATATTCAAGACATTGGTTGCATTTGGGTGAATGCTTCTATAAGCAGACTTTTTGTTATCAATAACGGATATAAGGAAATTGACGAGATACCCATTTGACCCAATGTCAGTCGTATGAAAAGCAACGTTAAAATCAAGATTAATACATAGTTTTACTAGTATATAGTCTATGTACAATGTTTGAAAAAAATAGGATAACTTTACCTGTCTATTCTAACCTAAAAACTTTTCTGGCATGAAACAAGTATATACTCTCCACCCTTAATAATGCCTTCCTTGTCTGGTTAACCAAGGGTTATAACACCTTTGACAATATAATAGATGCTTGTAGGTTGTGTATCTGTGCAGTTCAT